AGATGAAATTGGAGAATTGTCATACCCAGAAATATTTATGCTGTCAATAGAAGGAGGAGGGCGATGAGCAGCAGATAATACAAGGATTTCAGTCTTGTCTCCTATTCAACTTAAGCTTGTTGTCAACCATCCATTTATCTATGTTATGTTATACACGCAACTCAAGTCTATGTTTGGCATCATCTAACTCATGAGAACAAGAAATAGAAAAAGAAACTTACAGTTTCGTATAATAATAGTCGATATTATGAGAATGGATAATATCAGCTATAGGTGAGGTATATAGTAAGAACAGTATAGTTTCTAAGACAGATCTCTGGGGGACACCACAGTTAAAGAATGGGAGTCAGATGTGCCACCTTTGACGCTCAAATAAAACTTTCTATCGGTGAGATAGATTCAAACCATTTCAGGGCGGTTCCCTTGACACCAAAACTTGTAGAGAGTCTTTCAAGTAAGATGTTATGGTCAACTCTGTCAAAGGCCGCAGATAAATCAAGAAGAACAAGAAAAACTGAACATTGTTTATCAATAGCACACAGGATATCATTGTGCACCTTCAAGAGAGCTGTCTCAACTCTGTGATGTTTTTTGTAAGCAGACTGAAGACTGACATGAAGATTTTTATTCTCAAGATGTTCAATCAATTGAGAGGCAACAACCTTTTCAATTAGTTTAGATAAAAAATTTAAATTTAAGTTTGAAAACTCTTCAGGGGACAAGGTTAGCTTTTTAAGCGACGGTCTGATCAAAGCTTGCTTTAACTTAGATTGCAAAGTTTCAGATACCAAAGACAAATTTACAATTTTAGTAACGGTAGGAATTAAAAGTTGAATGCAATTCTTCAGGATTTTGCCCGGAAGAGGATCAAGATCAGAAGATTTAGTCACCAAGGGGAGAAGTAGTTTAGAAAGATCCTCAGAGGAAATTTCATAAAAAGATTTGAGATATTTGTCGTTGCAGATTGAAAGACCGGTGCAGAATTATATATATATATCATTGAATTTGGTCTGAATTCCTTTAATTTTATCGATGAAAAAGTCAGCAAACTTGTTGGCATGATGACGAGGTGAGTTGGCAGAGGGATAGATCTTATCAGCATTCTTGTGGACCACCTTCTCAAAAGTAGAAAAAAGTACCTTTTGATTAGCCTGATGTTCATTTATAAGATTGGCAAAAAATTCATCTTTACATCTCTTAATCAATTTCTTAACCACCCCGCACTGTTGTACACAGAGCTCCCTGTCGAAAGTTAAACGCGAACGTCGCCTTGATTTTTCTAGCTTTCGTCGTTTGATTTTTTCAGATTTTATTTCTGGAGAATACCAAGGCGTAGCAGGACGCAGTGTGATAATGCGTTCCTTAGATGGAGCATGAGTGTTAAGGATTGAAGTGAGTACAGAATCATACTACTGTATAAGTACATTTACATCATTAGATGGAGATGTCACTAGAGATGAGTTAGAAAAGTCAAGTGAAAATTGATCTTCGTCGATAGCTTTGTAGTTACGGCATTTAGAGACAATTTGCTGAAAAGGTGGTTTAGCAATCATAAGATCGCCAAAAACAGCATAATGATCAGAAATGACAGAATCAGAGACATATATATATATACACTCGATTGCAGAAACGTTGTAGTATACATTTATACATTTATACAAATATCTAATGAGATGCATAATACAAAATAACCATATGCATTTTCAACGCTTAAAACCAACTGATTTATAATCTGTACGATCTAATAGTCAAGAAAAAAATATCTTGACAGTCATTGAATGAAACAAACAATAAATAAGCGATTTTTCGGTTTTGCATATATATTCGTATATATATTTGAAACGGCCATGATTTTTGGAAATGGCTGTATATATACACTTGATTGCAGAAAGGTGTAGTATACATTTATACAAATACCTAATTTATTCAGTATATTTAATGATATGCAAAACAGAAAACTCGCTTTATTTATTATTTGTTCATTCAATGAACGTCAAAATATTTTATTCTTGTGTTTTACATCCTACAGATTATGAATCAATTGGTTTTGAGGGTTAAAAAAGTAAAATTGCAATATGCATCTCATTAGGTATTTGTATAAATGTATAAATGTATACTACAACGTTT